ATCTTGCTTGTTTGGGTTATAGAGACCTCTAGCATATATGCTACTCGCACTAGTTGTAATCAAAGACTAATTTATTGATAGAATTAAGTAAATATATATACAAGCATTGACAGGCAATTAGGATATATGATATGGGTGTGTGTGTGATGAGTTAAGCCTGGAATGAATTAAGTACAGGATACAACAGTCACCCACGCCCGCGATCATTGATGAACTTTCGACTTTGCTAATGCTTTCGTTTCTCTGGGTGTAAATAGACGGGGAGAATTAGTTCCCTCGCCCTGGGCTTACTGGCTCGGAGAATTACTACCTGAAAAAAGCAAGCAGAAACTCGATGTTTCGACCTAGCCTTTCGACGTAAGGAGACAGTGGCGGAAATTCACTTTTTCCGGTGTGGGGGGAGGGGGCAAAGCCTCCTAAATTTCCGACATAACTTTTAAATTTCCGACAACCCCCTCCCCCCATTTGCACTCTAAAAGACTGTTTCTGTCCTTCTTTTCGGTCAAAATTTCGGAAAATTCGGCAATTTTCCGTAAAGGTGGGATTTCCGCCACTATAACGAGACATTGTGAGGTTTAGATTAGTTAAACCAAAATTTCCAGGTTATTTGTCCAAGCACCCCATCATTCGGGTCGCAGGGCTGAAATAATCCTCATTCATGATATCTGTGAATATAAGATATTAGTATAAACCTACTAGTAGGCTATCACATATCGTGCCTTCTGATTAGCTACGTTACTAGTAGGCTATTAGTGATAGCCTACTAATAGAAATTTCAATCAAAATGGCGGAAAATTTCCGTTTTGCACTTTTGCCGAAGTGTCTGATGATTTTTTGGACGACTTGTTGAACAATTCTGTACTAAAAACCCCCGAAAAAAGTAACAAAAATATGGATTGGCAATTTTTAAGGGTAAGAAAATAGACAAAATAACATACACCCAATGAAATTTTAAAATAAAAATTAAATTTTGTAAAACTCTTTACGCGAAATATTTGTTTACCTTTAATGGTTTTATAATGTGTTTTTTTTGTATTTTTGTATTGTGTTTGCAGCCTAGTTGTAAATTAATGATAAAGTTTATACTAAAACAATTAGACAACTCGGCCTCGTTGTCTATGAACAAATAGTCAACTCGGCTTTGCCTCGTTGACTATTCGCTCATAGACAACTCGGCCTCGTTGTCTAATTGTTAATTATGAGATGCCTTTACAACTAACTTTATTTCACAGGCTCGTATCTAGTGGAAGTTGTCATACGCGGTAAAACACGCTATTTTGATGCGAAAAATTACGACGGCACGAATGTGGGGCGATTTTCCAACCAAAAGGGTGTATTAAAAGCTCTCAAAGATGTCAGACGACGATCAGACAGCAGAGTCTTCCCTTATTTTGAAGAATCGGAGTGGAAGGACGTTAATGACGATTTGGCAAAGGAAGCTAACGCGTGTTATAAGCTAGATGGAAGTGAGCTCCAGGTTTTCTCGAAGATCGACATTGAGCCGAGTGATGATCCAGTTGAGATATTCACGTCGTATGGTGATATTAGATCGTTCTGGATCGCTGCAATTGTCCGAGAACCGACAAATTTCCCCCAAGAGATGGTGAGAATTGTCAGAAAGCTTTTCAACGCTTCTCGCAGCAACTGGTCACTGGAGCAGAAGGTCCGTTGGGGAAGCTGCGAAGATTTAATTGATGAAAACGGGAAGGTGTGTACTTTCATTGAAGAATAATTTCACTATATGTGTTCTTGCGGATGTTTAAAAAAGAAATGATTTAAAATTGCTTTCAATCTCACAAAACGGCTATTAGTATCAAATTTGTTATATATATATATATATATATATATATATATATATATATATATATATATATATATATATATATATATATATATATATATATATAACCTCAAATAAATGTTATCCTATCCAGGAAGGCCTAACTTAAATTTTGATGTATAACACATGCATTTTTGTTTAGTATTACCCAAGATATTGGTAAATCAATTTGAATATGCAATTCCAAAAGGTTCCAAAACTAGCTGAAAATAGCCTATTAAATACGAGTAAAGGAAGTTAACGATATATGAAGAACACAAAGGCAGTAAATAACGCGTTTATCATGGAAAATTAAATAACTATATTCTTGCACGTGTGACCATACTATCGAACGAACGTTGGATTTATTTGCTGATCAAAGTTATGGCAATCAGCAATAATCGCTTCACGAAGCTGTCTCAAATTGTTCGGTTGTTGATCTAATTTAATTCCCTATAGCTATGGGACATGGAAATACTGCGAAGCAATTCTTAATTAAAAGAGCCATGTTTTTCGAAATTTTGTTGCTTTTCAAGTGATAATAAAACAAATAAATAAATAAGGAAAATCATTCGTTACACGTTTCAATTCAAATTAAATTCATACAAGCGAATATGTCTGACGAAACTCTAAAATTTATCAAAACAGTTTAATAGGCCATTTTTAGCCAATTTGTTAGATTTTCAAAAATTCGTTCCAAATTTTATTTGGCGATATCCCAGTCAATATTGCACGTAAATAAACATACTATAGCTCAAAATTTAAGTTAGACTTTTATGAATACAGCTACGTTTATTTCAGCGATGTAACATTTATAGTTTTTTCGCTGTACTAAATCAAACGCGTGAACTTTTTTTTGCGCCACCCGGTATATATATATATATATATATATATATATATATATATATATATATATATATATATATATAGACTATATATATATATATATATATATATATATATATATATATATATATATATATATATATATATATATATATATATATATATATATATATATATAATATATATATATATATATATATATATATAAGGGCTTAAACTCAAGCAAATTGTCTGAAATTTTGTACAGTAATTAAAAACCGAACAAATTTTCTACCTATTAACTCAAAATATGATTAAAGCTTTTAAAATTCGTGCGAAAGCCATTTCTAGTTTGTTAGAAAAGACACCCCCCCTGGTTTACAGAATTTGAGTTCAAGAAATTTTTGTCATTATTCTACATTATAAACACCCAAAGAAGCTATATACATCAAAAACTGGATACTAATAGCTGTTTTGCGAAATTGAGAGCAATTTCAAATCTGTTCAGTTTTTTTATACACCCTGCATGTATCAGAGATTTCAGTATAGTTTATGCGATTTGTAAAGAAACTTTAATGAAATACGCTTGGGCTGTGTGTTACCTTAACAGCTTATTTGATGGAAAAAAGTGCGAATCCTGTCCCCTACACGGCGTCCAAAGCTCAATGTCGCCAGGCCTTATACCTGAATGTAAGACTGTATAGTATCCATGTTTGTTTGTAAAGCAATGAAAACAATGTTCAAAGGGCGTTGATAAGTACACAGGTGCTATCGAAGCGTACTGTATTACTATTAATAATATATATAAAGATATTACTCGACTGTGATTGGTTGATTTCAGTGCAGTTAATCCCAAAAAGCAGTGCAATTTTCTGTAATCACAGTGCAATTTTCTGTAATCACAGTGCAAGTTTTTGTAATCACAGTGCAATTTTCTGTAATCACAGTGCAAAAATCTGTAACAAACTGATCTGATTGGTGGAAAAACATTGTGATGATTAACTCAACCAATCATTTTAAAACAATTTAGTTTGAGGTCTTTGAAAAACTCACTCGTGCATGTTATATGCAAATTGCACTCGAAACCTTGCTATTACCTATACTAATAGTATTTCATGTATATATTATTAAAGTAATATAGCACGTTTCTTGTATAGTATGCACTTTGCCCTTAATTAAGACAGTCCTTTCTCTATTACTATTGATTGAAAACCAGTTTCAAAAATATCAATATAAAAAACTCATCTCTTGCATATCGACACATTCCGCATCCAAAAACCACAGTCGTTTCGAAATGCACGCATGGTTACCAGGCCTGGACGTTAGCTATATACATCTTTTGCCTTTGCACAATTAAATTTCTCTCGTTCTCCTGAAATTAAATAAGCTCGGATCAAATGAGGATAAGAGTGCATGGGAATTGGCAGCCATGCACGCGACTCATATATGATGTGCTCTATTTAAGTCAAAACTTTTATCATGTTCATTTTGAAATCAATGGTTGATTGGCTCTGGGGAGTGCGATTGGTGGTAAAATCGCATCCGTGGTTCAACCAATCGTACTAGAGTGCCGTCCTCAACCAATCATATTTAATCGCATGATTCAAAAAGCAATCACGAGTTGTTAAGAAAAGTGTGATATGGCAATGAGCAGAACGAAAAATTTACATTTGTCTGCATGATTACTCTATGAAATATGGTCAAAATGCCAACAAAAGAAACTTTAAAGGCAATTTTCCATTGCAGTCGCTTTGCCCGCTCGGGCGGAGCGGGCTTTGAAAATCTGTTCACGCGGGCGTGACGGGCTTCAGAAACAATGAACGCTCCGCCTGCGCGGGCAAAGTGACTGCAATGGAAAATTGCCTTAAAGTGTCAGGTGAAACAATCGTAGTTCCGATGTTTGAACGCACAAAACTGCATCAAATTAGCTCTATCAAATCACTCATAAGACCAATAATATGTTTAAACTTAGCTATACTTGTGTTAACATCTTATTCTTTAAGAATTTCGTCGTTTTTCAAACGAAAAAATACAGTTTGATAAAACTGTCTTGTTCGCTTATTGTTGCTATGCTACGGCATTCAGGGAGGCACCGTGGTGTCCACGGTTGGCACAAAAGACAGCAAATTCGGCCACGTACAAATAACTTTCTGTCGTTAGTTTGGAATATAACGAAACTTCCTCACAGGAGAGAACTTGCCATTCCTAAAAATCCTATCGTTTTTGATTTTCGATTTGGTTACATTTTGGCGGGAAAATCACGTGCTAACTTTGGCGCCAAAAAATTAAACACGAGATTTGGACATGCTAGGAACATTTTTGAAGAGAACATTTTTTATTTTTATCTTCGTAAGGACATCCCGCAGCCAAATTAAACACGTTAGACAAATTAAAGTATTTTACCTTTTTGTTAATCTGGAAGAACAAATAAAACATAATGTTTCAACCTGGATTCAAACCCTTCAATTAACATTATATTTCCGGCTTACAAAAATGTTTTTAAAAGATTTCACTGATAAATATAACAAAGTGGAAATTTTGTAATCACGCGTATGATTTCCGTCCAAATTACACTCCATGAATTACCATTAAATACTAGGAGTTACTATCGCAAGGAAAATGCTGCCGATATGTACATGCAGGATGTACTACAACCAAAAAGTGTCTTTTTCACTGTATGTTTCTACATCAATGACCTCGTACAATTGTATAAAGTATAAACACGGTGGTCAAATGTGTATAAGCGTGGAACGTGTATCGTGGGTTAAATTTAAACTAAAGTTGTAAAAGCAGCAATAATAATCTGTAATTCTTGAAAAAGATCTTCTATACAACATTCAAGGTCTGTTTAATTAATCAGCATTAAATTTTGAACTTTCGTTTAGCCTAGTGACTTATTTCAATGCATCAAAACAATTCTGCCTTCCCTCATGTAAACACCCCAAAGATACCTGTTCAGGAGGTAGGAAAAGTGCAATTTGAATATCAAATACCTTGCACAAAGTCAAAGGTCGGCTAAATGTTCTAATTCTACTTTCTTGGCGTGGGCAGTTTTAAATACCTTCAATGCTTATAATTTCTTGCTTTTGTACATATAATTATAATATTTTCAGTGGCAAAGCTAGCCATAGCAATAGGTCATGCTATGCAAGTTTTTAATGAATTACATCATTCAAATAAATGCAGGTTTATTAGCATATAGCACGTTCAACCACGAGCATACTTAGAGTGGATCGATATCGCAAATACCGAATACCGATATACCGCCATCAGAACACAGGTAAATACCAGCATAACGGTATTTTTAACGTTTTTTTTAAAGGACATTGGCAACCAAAATTTTTATTGCTTCATCTGAAAGAGCATGAAAAAATAAGCCGTTTAGTGCTCTTTCTATCTCATTTAGTTCCGAATTTATACGCACAAATGTCCAAAATATAAATTGTTGATTCAGCACAACGTGTGACGTCATTGGTTGGGGAAGTAATGTATGTTTCTTGAATAGTAAACTAAAGCATAGATAAGTTATTATTGCCTCAAATCAAATGAAATTTTGCATACAGATAGGACATGATGAGACGCATGGAAAATACTTCTAATTTTGTTGTCAAGGAAACACAGTCGTTCCCAGGCCCCTTACATTTGATTTGGGCCCATAATAACTGAGCTATGCTTCAGTTTACTACTCAATAAACATACTTACCCAACTAATGACGTCACACGTTGTGCTGAATCAGCAATTTATATTTTGCACATTTTTGCATATAACTTCGGAACTAGATGAGATAGAATAGAGCATTAAACGGCCAACTGGCTTATTTTTTCAAACTTTGTTTTCAAATGTTGTCGGTTTTATTCATATTTTATTCACATCTTAACTCGATAATTCACTTTAATGCAAGCTGGTATGCATGAAATTACAGTGAATGTTATCGTTCATTATAAAGCTAGCGCATCAGTTGTGTTTTTATGTTTGTTTCTAATAGTCTTAATTCTTTATGTGGAGTTTTAATACTTTATCTGTTAAGAAAGGCGAGGGGTTGCGGCGTGCATGTATTTTCTAGTTTTACGTAATATCATGACCAGGTATGTGAAAGATCCAGGACGACGGGCCACGTTACAGAAATATCATGCAGGACGAAATGAACAAATGCAGATTCAAATTACTAAGAGAACAAGATGAATTACTGAGGCGACGGTCGCATGAATACTTAAGGGAATGTCTTTGGATGAATAACAGAATAAAAGAGTTGTACATGGGGGAATCTTACCACAATTAATGAAACGAAGATCAACTGTTTTATTTCGAAGTTTTGGATATCCAAGCTCATGCTTGACCAGCATCCTAAAAAGATACAAACGTGTTGAAAATTATGTTTGTAATGTTGTCTCTGAGTGTGTCCAACAACGGTCAAGTTGAAAAGTTTGCTTGACCGTGGTGGAAATCGAACCCTTGACCTTTGGTTTGCTAGTCTATGGTCTACTAGCAAAAACGCCACTTCATCTCAATTGTCTTTTTGCTCTCGAAATCTACCGAAAGTGACGTTTAATTAATAAGGCATTCTTGTGGCAGGACACACGAAACGAAGACTGATTTGCATATATCTTATTGAATTTCGGCCTAGTATTTTGCGAATTTCCAAAGTATTTCTCCAAGCCCTGAAAAGGCGATGGAAAATGCGAGAAATGAGAATAAATTTTTAACAATTTATTGAGAATTCTACACAGTAACAACATTGCACCATTAAATAACTAGACACTGACAAGTACAAACACAATACAGACATAGTGTACAATACAAGAGTAGAAGAGCCAAACGGACAAAATAAAGCACGAACGGGATACGAAGTCCCATGCAAGGTGCTGCTTGATTATTCTCATAGTAACGCTTCAATTACAACTGCTTACCATCAGATATAGGTGCACAATGGTATATGTATATCAGGTTATGTGAAGCATTTACTGTCGTTCCAATTGAAGTATTTCTCAAATATTGATTCAATACATTACCTCGGGCTGACCAATTCATTTGATCAAGTTCCTCTAGATATTTATACACTTCCTAGTATAATTGTAAACTTCCTGTTGAATAGTTTGAATGCACCAATCACCTTTGTTGTTTGTGCAACAAACCAATCATAAATAGAAAGGAAGTGGCCAGAAATGATCAAATACTTGGAATTGGCTCTTTCACAGGAAGTGTATGAATATCTCGAGGAACTTGATGAAATGAATTGGTCAGCCCGAGGTAATGTATTGAATCAATATTTGAGGAACACTTCAATTGGAACGACAGTAACATTTAAAACAAACGTTTATATTGTACTTGTGCTGTGAGATATTTCAATCAGCAGCTTCAAGCTATCTGCAGGGTCTGCTGTCAACTCGAACACATTTCACGCAAAAGGTATTTCAATCAAATTTTTAACGTACTGTACTGTTATTATTAGCATGACAAAATTACTGGATACTGATTGGTTGAGAGGAGTACAATTATTTCATTAATTGTACTCCAGTACAATTAATGATTTCCCAAAACAAACAAAATGGCGGAAAGGTATTAAAATACAAAATGAGATGAAATTGCCCTAGAAGAACTAGATACCAACAAAAGCACCAAATTTTTATTGGTTGATAGTCTGGCAGGACTGGGCTTTGGCGAGAGAATATGATGTTGATCATTGCGAAGTATCCAATTTTGTCATGCTAATAATAAACAAGTAATCAGGCCGCTCGTCCAATTTTGGCAAAACTTCCAAACATCACTCGTACTATTAATCCCTAATTGTACTCGCCATCGCATGATTACCTGTACCTATACTAATTTAGTTTTAACCATATAATAATGTAGAAGATCTCTGTAAAATACAGTCAGTGCAAATGGAACCCAGAGGTCCTAAGCATAGTGACAAATAGACAATTAAACTATATTTTTAAGTCCATTCGCATGTGTCAGCTTTGTTGAATGTGAACCCCCCGCAAAAAAAATTAAAATCTTTCCCTCTCCTCCCTGAAAATGTTGTGCAAAATTTGAAATCATAGTATACACAGGTATATGTACCCATTCCTGCTAAGCCGTGTAAAACTAATCCTAACGAACTTAAAGGCCTTTACTTAAATGCCCGAAGTTTGAAGTCTTTCGTCCCTGCACAATGACACTTCAAATAAAGTTGGCAAAATAACCTTACTGCAGGAGTTGGTTCACGGTGGCGAATATGAAGTGGTCTGTATTTGTGAAACTTGGTTAAATAATACAGAACTACTTGATACAGAACTACTCACAGGTTTCAATATTTTTCGTCGCGACAGGACGGGGAGAATTGGCGGTGGAGTTCTCATCGCGATTAAAGAAAACTTACATGCTACTCGGCGTTGTGACCTCGAAAGAGATGGCACTGAACTTGCTGTAGTTCAACTCAGTAAAGCGAACAATGAACCAGTAATTCTTTATGTGTATTACCGACCTCCAAACTCTTCTCCTGATGCTGGTCTCAGTCTTCTAAACAACTCCATAGCAAGTAACCCGGAGTCATGTTGCCTAATCCTAGTTGGTGACTTTAATATTCCTTCTATCTCCTGGTCAGACAGCCCATCAACTCCTATTAGCACTGGTGGTTGCTCCAATGGTGAAAACCTTTGTGAACTTATCGACGATAATTTTCTGTATCAGTTTGTAGATGGCCCAACCCACCATGCTGGAAATAAGCTTGATTTGCTGTTTTGTAATCGTACCGAAACCCTGTCCGACGTACTAACTCTCTCCTGTGATGAACATAACTTTCCGACTGATCACTATACCATTGAATTCCTTATTCGCACAAAGTTCAGTAAAGCAAAACCTGTGCGGCGAACAGTTTATGATTACAACCGAGCTAACTTTCCCGAACTTTGTAAAGCCTTGTCTCAAACAGATCTTCGTGTATCTCTTTCGGACAACATTGATGATTGTTGGAAGCATTGGAAGGACTTATTTTTATCAGTTGTGTCAAGTTATGTTCCGACCAAAGTTGTTAAGGATACCAACTCTCCTCCCTGGATCGATGGAGAAGTTCGCCATCTAATCCGGAAAAAGTACGTACACCGCCTTACGTAAATATCGCTTGAAGAAAACGCCTGAACGTAAGGTTAAACTGCGGACATTGTGTCAGCAAGTAAAAAATGTTATTCGAAAGAAACATAAAAAGTATTTGGATAAAATTGAAATTTCATTTAAAGAAAATCCGAAATTGTTTTGGAATTACCACAAAGCGGCACTCCACCACCGTTCAGCATTGAATCCTGTCATCTTACACAACAATGAGACAGCGATGACCCCAAAACAAAAAGCAGACTTTTGCTCCGTTTTTCGACCACTTAAAGCTTTATCTATCACTGACGATTCACCTCTCTTACTGTCGCCTGTGGAACAATTGCCTGATATAACTGTCTCGGAAGAAGAAGTTGCCCATCATCTTGCACAATTGGATCCAACTAAGGCAACAGGCCCCGATGGTATTCCTGCTCGGGTATTGAGGGAATGCAGTTATGCCATTGCCCCAAGTCTTTGCTCACTCTTTAATCATTCATTACATACTGGTACTGTTCCATCTGAATGGAAATCAGCTGATGTTTCACCAATTCATAAGAAAGATAAGAAAGAACTAGCTCACTGAAGGGCTTGAATCCGGGTTTTTCCATTAATTTAGTTTATTGTACGATCATCCAGATTAAATTTTTTTAATTATTTCTGACGTTTCGGCTACCTACACGGCAGCCATTATCAAAGACGTATTACAGTTACACAAACTAATTATAATAATTTATAATATATATAGTTATAATAATTTTATCTTGCGTCAAAAATGACGTGCGCGTGTTCGTGATGTTGTTTGCTCGCGCCTGCATTCATCGCGATTAGTCCAGCGTGGCAGCGTATGCTCCTGGCATATCGCGGCAAATATTGATGCTGTTTTCATCGCATTTTGTAAACCAACTTTCCAAGAACATTCTCTCATCCTCAAAACCAGTAAACTCCATACAAGTGGCTCTCTCCCAATCAATTCTATGATTTGTTTCCATATGATATCAGAAACTGAAGTTTATTGTTTGTCCGACCCGAGTGTATTGGTGTCTGACAGAACTGTAGCTTTGTCTGACGCTTTCTCCGTGCACGTAAATCAAAATGACCCTAGTCCAGCGGGTCATTGCGGGGCGGCGAGTGAAATGGTGAGGTGGAAAACAAGCTTAAGTTAACGAAGTTGTACTGCTATCATTGGCAAGCAAGTTAATTTTGGCTCGGAAATAAGTCTGAATGACGCAAATTAATATCAGCACAATGCATTCATTCTGAACTAAATGTTAACTGTGAAGATAATAAATAATTTGTGTCATTCACATTTATTTCCAAGCCAAAATTAACTTGCTTGCCAATGATAGCAGTACAACTTCGATAACTTTTAAGTTTAAGCTTAAAAGCTTGTTTTCCACCTCACCATTTCACTCGCCGCCCCGCAATGACCCGCTGGACTAGGGTCATTTTGATTTACGTGCACGGAGAAAGCGTCAGACAAAGCTACAGTTCTGTCAGACACCAATACACTCGGGTCGGACAAACAATAAACTTCAGTTTCACTTAGGTCGGACAGAATGTCCAGTGGTTTCCTCTCTACGTCGGACAATTTGATGAATGGATCAGACAAGGTCCGTGACCGACCGATATTTCAAGGCCTGCAGTAGTACTGCAATATATTTACTAGTATTTGGCGCACATGTCTGGCGCACAAAAAAGTCTCATTCCATACACTCAGGGCCTAATGGATGGGTTATAACCATAACTACAGCTTTCCAGCAATATATTTTTTTTCATTGAATTTGTTGTTGGTTTGTCAAGTACTGTATGTTATGTACAACTTGTCAGTGTTAAGCACAAAGGGCGAGGAAACGGGCAACCCTCAGGGATTTGACATCATGTATGGCCCCGTGAGTAGTACCTTCTTCCCAAGAGAGGGGATATTTGACTTTCCAGAGAGGGGATACCTGACTGTGCAGAGGGAGTCTGGCGATCACCTTTTTTTGCGTTGGATCCTCGTCACCAGGCCTCGCGACTGCACACCGTGCTGGAGAATCAGACATTTCCTGGATTTTCAACATGGTAAAGTTATCAGTTATATAGTTCTATTAAATTTTGCTTAAAACAGGGTTGAGTTACAAAATGGGTGTTTGGCACAAGCCCATTCAAATTTATTTATACCTCTGAGAAAACGAGATCTTCACAGCAAAAATCGCAATATATTTCAACAGTTTTTAGTCGAACGGCGCGTTGAGAATATTTATAGCTTGAATAATAATGAGCCGCACTGATTCGCGTGTTGCATTTCGGGAAGACCCTCATTCCTCCTCTGCTCTAGAACATTTTCCAAATACTTCTGGTTTCGAAATCAATTGGGTTTTTTTGGTGGGTGGGGGGGGGGATCCCCCCCCCCCTTCATAAAACACTGGCCTAGTGGGGCCTGTTGCCCCCTGCGGTCACTAACTTGTCTAGCCGAGCCTTCCAACAACTCAAATCTATAGGGTCTAGGAAATGCAATCCACTGGAAAATGTTTAAAATCTAATAAGGTATTTACACAGGGTTCGTTTTTGAGATTTCGCTACTCGTTTTGCTATACAGTAATATAAAAAATAACTATTCAACCTGAGAAGATTTCAAATGTGAAAAAGTAAAACTGATAACATTGGAAACGTTTGTTTTCAAACAATTCTTTGTGTATTTTGAGGCGAAACATTCTCTCATATGCGCTGATATTTCTGAATAGACAATAGAATTCTGTTGCGTTTCCTAATGGCCTCAAGCTGTGTTTTGATTTAATGTTTTAATATGATAGGCTGATATTATAAAAATGTGTCAAAATCCACTTAGGAAAGGTCAAAAGTCATGTTTAACATGACATTTAACCTTTCTTAAGTGGATTTTGACACATTGCGAAATTCAAATCTGATTTGAATTTCACAATCACTTGGATTTAAAACCCAAATCAAACTGTACAATAACTAGTTTACTTTTAAATATTTAATTCGAACCCTGTATTTACAACACAATGTTTAGCATTAAAGATGAAAGACAGGACATAAGATTCACAAAGCAAATTTCAGTTACTAGAATATCAAACCTCGCCCTTCTAAATTCCATGTCTTTTGCCTATATTTTAGAGAAAAGGGACTTTGACTGGGGGGGGGCAAAATGGTTGAGTGGGGGTGGCACCATGAGGGCTAGGGGGGCTTTGCCCCCCCCCAGTTATATAGTTAAAAAATGCCCCGCATGGCTATGGCTCACTGTTCATGGGTAGTCATCCTCACTGATCTCAAAATATAGTGGTCTGTCGTGAATAGCGACACTGATTGGTCAAATTTATAATGGTTTTGTCAGCAAGGTGAGGTTTCTGCATGCATTCTCTAGTACAGGTGTATGTACCATAGAATACCGCAAAAAATTACATGTTCCATATCTTTTGTCTAATGTATATAATATGGTTCCTTAATATTTTTTAGATAAGTCTATCGATATATTTTTTCTTCCTGGGGGTTTTGGGGCAAGATTTCATAGACTTAATTAATTTTTTTTAAAATGAATATTCTGTGGAAAAAAATCCAATGTACCACAGAATACCAGAGGTAAGTAAGCAACGGTTTATCAAATTTTACCAGGATTTGGTGTGTCATGTTGTATGATAATACTGTGAGATATTGCTAACTTAATTTAGTGAAAGTTAAACACTAAAATCAGTACAGAATACCAGTGGTTTACCAAAGAATACCAGGTTTATGAATAATTTTGAAAAATTCAGTTTTTCAATGGTAAAATTGATTTCACTGTGTGATTCCAGTGTAGTAATGTTGTGTTGCATAGAAAAAGTATTGATCAACATAAATTATGCTGGTTTGCGAACTTATTTTTAAACATTTGGATTTTACAGGCATTATGTGAAAAAAAGTACCAAAAATATATATATATATATATGTTACTTCTTGTTAAACCTGATTACTTTTAAGAATTATTAAGAAAATATACATTTTTTGTTTTTATATGTCAATTAAGACTAAAACTAATATATAAATAATCACAAAAATAAAGTTTACAGCATATTTCCTTCAAATTTTATATAAGAAATAAATAAGACTGGTATTCTGTGGTACCATGGTATTCTGTGGTACATACAGCTGTACGTTTATATTCTATTCGTTCGCATCGATCATACACCTATTTATTGGTCGAACATATGTGACATATGTCGGCCAATTCTCCCAAATTACCAATCAAGAACAACTACTCAAAATAATTTTTATCGACAGTAAAAATTTGTTCCAACGACAATTAATTACCCTTTATAGATTGCTGTTTTCCACTGCTTCCATCTTGGTCCGTACCATCAACCGTAAAATCAAACGCCATTATTCCTTGTATTTCTAGCTTTCGCGCCATAATAAAGAAACAAACCTATACTCCTGTGGTGTCTTAACATTGCCGTTGCTAAATGTAGTATCAATCAACACTTTAACAACAAAGATGCAAAAGGATTCCAATTAATTAATTAGCATACTTAATCATATAAAATTATTAATTAACAATCCTATCTCTGATCTTTCTATATTCACTGGACTTTAATATGATTTCACATCATATTAAAATGCAGGCCTATTCCGGAATGGGCCCTGCACAGAGTTGACGACTCATCCAGGGCGGCATCAGAGAAATTCGGGTGCCCAGGGCAAATTTTTGTTTCGGGGGGGGGGCTATTTTTCCCGAAAATGTTGGCGAGCGGGGGGGTTGCAAATTTTTTTCGGACATTAAAAAAATTTTCTGGTCGAACAATAGCTAAACTGAGGTTCATGAAAAAAAAATTTTCCCGACAAATTCCTATTACAACATGAGTCAAACCCTTTTTATTCGATCAATAAATGTAAAATTTTGGTTTAGAAAATTTTTTCTCATACCATTATTTATATCAAAAAACGTTCGAAATTATTTTTTTAGTAGTTTTGCAAATTTGAGGCCCCCCACTGGGGGCCCGGGGCAAATTGCCCCCAGTGCCCCCCTGTAAAAGGCCCTGGCCGCATCGGGTGCGAATAAGTTTACTAAAAGTACGGAATATGTACGCACAAGCATGTTGGTAAAACTAACGTACATCAAAGTTAGGTCTGTGCCGCGACCAAAGTTAGGTCTGTGCGACAATGCGCGCAAAATGCGCCTAAATTTATAGGCGAATTATAACAGTTCCTATTTCTTAAATCAGGCCCCCCCCCATCCCTTTTACTGGCCTCTCTATTCGGCAATTTTGCCCCCCCCCCCAGTGAGGTCCCTAAGAACTACCTGCAGTAGGTGATCAACCAGCAATTATATGTATCAAAGTGAGAAAAAATGTTAAGTTGTTAACATTTCTGAATTTGACCATCATCTGCAGGCCGGAAAATAGCTATGAGTCAACCGCGGCAGTTGACTCGGTAGGCCAGAATTTGGGGACTGAAATTTAAACATCGCCAGAAACCTAAACCATGACTGAAGTAATTTGCTCGTGAAAGAAGGCATGAAATGGCATTTTAGCACGAAATTCTAGTTTAGTTTTTACAAGCAAAGATACTCCAAGAAAACCACCCTATCTTGCTCTTCAGTGACACTAAAAAAACGAATGCGTCGATGTGGTGAATGATAATACTATATAGCTACCACGCACATTTTCATTGCCGCATTATCATACCATGTTACCTTATTGGGACTGGATTACATTTGGGAGACTGTGAAATTGCAGTAATTGTGTCATGTTTATAAGGTTAATTTCTTGTTGGAAAACTGCTCAAAATGCTGGAAATAGCAGTTATCTGAGCTTCCAGCCTGAAATCCAAAATTTTCTGGGGGGCTTGCCCCTAAACCCCACTAGAGGCTCGCCCCTTTGATGGTCGATCTAGTTGTCTCAGAATCGGCCTGATATGCTGCCCTATGAGTTTACTTATTAGTTAAACCATGCATATATACGCTGGTAGCTGCAGTGATACAGACTTTCCGACTGGAACTTCTCGAGGTCCCCCGCTTTTCCCCCGCTAAATATGTCCCCTCCAGTTACACATCCTTAAAAGAGGCCCTGTCTTAAATTTCACTTTTTGTGGTTTTTTTCCACTCAGGTAAATATTATATTTGTCAGTGTTACTCTGATAGTGCAACTGGGCAAGCTGAAAAGTTTGCCTGACCACGGTGGGATGAACATTACTGGATTTTAATTAGGTCCATACAACAAAAACTCCAGCAAATAAATTTTATTCTTTATTGTTGTATTCTTTATTGTAGTCTTCTTTGAAAGTCATTTGTTGGATTTTATCTTTAGATTGCCCTTTCCGCTTGCACGTGAATAAATTGGTTTCGTTTCTATTGATATATACACAATGTCAATGTGTCGAGAAACTATTACAGATTAGTTTAACTTGGGTGAGGAAATATTGGGGATGAGAAAGTATGACTAGGTCAAATCTACATACCCTAGCGAAATGCCTCGTCATCTAATATAGTGACGTACTGTACATCTGTCGCTATCCGAGAAACCACAGCCAAGGGAACGGGCTTGGCAGCAACAGCGGGGAAAGGAGCTTAACTCGGTGAGAAAGAGGTATCCACCGTACGTAGAAATACCGCAGCTCGTATAGTATTTTACTTAGGCGCTGTTTATATGGTCTCGGGTACCCTATCCCCCGAGACAATTTTACCGTGCGTTTATATGATAAAATTCAGAAAGGCATGACGCGGGGAATACTCCGTTTTTTGTTCGTTTATGTTGTTTTTAATAAAAAGTTTCTATTGAGCATGCGTAGGTCTAAAAAGTTGCCCCTGGGAGCCGACAGAAATCAACGCAAACGTACTGTTTACATGGACAAAAGTTGTCCCTCCTACAAGGGTAACCCTGTTTCGTAAACAGGGTGTCCGCCAGGGTAACCGTACCAGCCGAGACGAGTTGAAAACTTTCCGCCATATAAACACTTACGTTTAAATGTTATATAATGAATATTATTTGCCTCTCCCAGGGTAGCTCGGGCGGGGGTAGGGTGTTCTAGTACCCGAGATCATCAGGGCGTGGAAGCTTCAAAGTTGTGGAGCCAGGCTTTGGGAGACTTTTCGAAAAAAAGGGGACATCAAAAAATTTTTCCCCGGGAAATGTTGGCGACGGCGGGGAGGGTGGAGGAGGTTATCTCCCAAAAAATTTTCCGGACATACCAAAAAAATTTTCCGGATATATCACATTTTTCCAGGAAATGAAAAAAATTTTCCGCAAATAACATACATTCAAGTTTTCAAACGTACCCTTCGGGCAAAAAATGCAATCTTACTGACATTTTTCACGCAAGAAAAGGGCACTTAGCACCCGGAAAAAGGGCACTTGCCAAAACTTGGGGGGGCCTGGCCCCCCTGCCCCCCCCCGTTCCCCCGCCCCTGGAGATCATATAAACAGCACCTTACTCAGAGAATTAATTAAGCAGGGGTGAAAAAAATAGACGAGCTCGCGAGCACTGTTCGCAGGAAATGTTAAACAGCTGCAGGAAATTCGTTTCAATAAAGATTGGCTATTGAAAATTTGAAAGAAACCTTTAAAACACCCATGTCCAACAACATATGATTGACAAACATTATTCCTCGAATTTAAAACCATGGTCAGCTGGGACATTTAAATTATTTATGACTTTATGCACATGCCTATTTACTGCACAAAAATACTCCGTTGGTCTCGGCAGGAAATTTTTATCTCCATGTTAAGAATTGACTTCTAATTAGTCTAATTATTCTAAACAGTTTATGATAAGATATGCATGAATAAATAATTAACCCAAAAAGATTAGTAGGTAGAATTTGGAATTGTTTAGTTATACTGTAGTAGAGCGCTTATAGTCAGAGCGCATCGAAATCGAACGGTGATATAAACGGGAGTTATTAACTAAGAGGGGGTAATGGGGGGTACCGATCCTGAAGCACGAAAAATAATATGCAGCGATCTTGAAGCATGAAAAATAAAAGAAGGAAGTCCTGAAGCACGTAAAATAAATTTATTACGAATCTGAAATGTAAAGTGAACATGAAATGTAAGCAACAATAGTGAATATAAACAGTCTGTACTGCAGTGATCACATGATAGACATGTGATACAATAACATTTATATATAGTTTTAGGGTGTGTTCACATTAGTGATTGATTGAGCGTTGAATAAATAAGTACAACATTACAATGGCGACGAGGAAAAATGTGCTAAAACGAAAGTTATAATCGATATCAGTGCTTTAGTATGGCAACTGCGGGAAAGATAGATGTAGCTCCTCTTGCTCCGTTTGATCCGATATCAGAACCGACATCCTTAAGTCAACGATGGAAAGTTTGGAAACGCAGATTCGAAACGTATTTAGTCGCGGTAAATGTGAAAGATAATGCCCAGAAACGAGCATTGTTACTTTATCAAGCCGGTGAGGCAACACAGGAAATCTTCGATACACTTTCAGAGACAGGAGAGGACAATGATTACAAGACTGCAATTGAGAAATTGGACGAATATTTTTCCCCGAAGAAAAATGTGGATTACGAGATATTTCAATTCCGTCAAGCAAAGCAAAACGCCGATGAACCAACAGACCACTTTGCAACACGACTTCGCAAACTAGCAGCTCACTGTGAATTCCACGATGTAGACCATGAAATAAAATCGGCTATTATTCAAAATTGTCGATCTAAACATCTCAGGCGGTATGCCTTATGGCAAGATAAAGTGACTCTCACCGAATTGTTATCGAAAGCTAGAACATTGGAAAATAGCGAACAGCAAGCCAAGGGCATTGAAGAACGTTTAGCATCGACTAATATTCAAGACGAAGAAGCAAATTTTGTAAATCCCCCAAGATCTAATGGACAACAGCGACGACAACACTGTCGCAACTGTGGATTATCTTGGCCTCATCGTGACGCACCTTGCCCTGCTAAAGGACAAACATGTCGAAAATGTAATAAACAAAACCATTATGTCCGAGTTTGTCGCAGCAGCGTCCCATCGACAAGGAATCCTATTAATACAAGACCTAGACCTATCCGCCCAGACAACAATCAACACAATATTCAACAGGTTGGATATCAAGAAGACCACTATTCGAATAGCCCTAGTAGCAGCAGCGATGATGAGCATTTATATACATGTGTCGACTCTAAATCAACAAAAATGCCTTTGACCAAAGTACAAATAAACAATGTACATGTCAAAATGATCATAGACACTGGGGCATCAATTAACTTTATTGACGAAAATACATTCGCCAATATCAACAAATACAAACGTATCTCATTAAAACGAACACGTACTAAACTCTTTGCGTATGGTTCCAAACAACAATTACCAGTGATTGGGACATTCGAAGCCACAATCGAGACAAAAAAACGAGTGACTGTCTCTACTATTCATGTAGTCAGAGGCAATTATGGCTCACTGTTAAGTTATCAAACGGCTACAGAACTAAACCTTATAAAAGTAAATGTCAACAATGTCAAAGTCACCGGTAATGACAAAATTGAACAATGTCACGACTCTCTAAAAGATAAAATAATAAATTTAATAGTCTGTGAGTG